CTCACACACACACACACACACACACACACACACTCACTCACTCACAGAGACACACACACACACTCATTCATTCACTCACTCACTCACAGAGACACTCACTCTCACTCACTCACGCACTCACTCACTCACTCACTCACAGAGAGACACACACACACTCATTCATTCATTCACTCACTCACTCACTCACAGAGAGACACTCACACTCACTCACTCACTCACTCACTCTCACTCACTCACGCACTCACTCACTCACTCACTCACTCTCACTCACTCACGCACTCACTCACTCACTCACTCACTCTCACTCACTCACGCACTCACTCACTCACTCACTCACTCTCACTCACTCACGCACTCACTCACTCACTCACTCACTCTCACTCACTCACGCACTCACTCACTCACTCACTCACTCTCACTCACTCACGCACTCACTCACTCACTCACTCACTCTCACTCACTCACGCACTCACTCACTCACTCACTCACTCTCACTCACTCACGCACTCACTCACTCACTCACTCACTCTCACTCACTCACGCACTCACTCACTCACTCACTCACTCTCACTCACTCACGCACTCACTCACTCACTCACTCACTCTCACTCACTCACGCACTCACTCACTCACTCACTCACTCTCACTCACTCACGCACTCACTCACTCACTCACTCACTCACTCACTCACAGAGACACACACACTCATTCATTCATTCATTCATTCACTCACTCACTCACTCACTCACAGAGACACACACTCATTCATTCATTCACTCACTCACTCACAGAGAGACACTCACACTCACTCACTCACTCACTCACAGAGACACACACTCATTCATTCACTCACTCACTCACTCACAGAGACACACACTCATTCATTCACTCACTCACTCACAGACACACTCTCACACACACACTCACTCACTCACTCACTCACAGAGACACACACACGCACTCATTCATTCACTCACTCACTCACAGACACACTCTCAGACACACACTCACTCACTCACTCAGAGACACACACACTCATTCATTCATTCACTCACTCACTCACTCACAGAGAGACACACACACACTCATTCATTCACTCACTCACAGAGAGACACACACACACACCAGAGTGTCCAGAATCATCAAAACACATTCACACTAGGGATGTAACGATTCACTCAACACACGATTCGATTTTATCACTATTTTTTTAACAAAATTGAAGATTGAAAACATTATACAGTAAATGAAAAGGTGTCGTTTTATAACCCCAAATCAAATAAGTAAGTTACACAAATAAAATAAATCTCTTAATATGAACAAACTAAGGCTTTGTCTGTGCATTAAGCATCATCCAAACAAAGATGCAGCATGAGCAGTTTTTAATCTAAATTAGACTATAATTTTGAAATTTGAAGCAAAAACAGAATGGTCTGACTTTAGTTTTGTGAAACTATACTACATAAAACATATCTGAACGAAACAGCAGATGAGCTGAATAAGACGCAGAGCAGCGCTGCGCTTATGAACAGCAATAATAGCTGATAATACCTAACCCTAACAGCTGATATTCAGACCAACAGAAACGACTGCGAGTGTGATATTACTAATGCAACACTTCAATAAACAAGACCTTCATGTGAGTACATTTTTCAGACTGAATTTTGCCAACGAAAACAGTTCCAGATGAAGTCAAAGCAGAATCAACTGGAGCAACATGCAGTGTTTCTGTAGCTCAGACAGTAGAAAGTGGTGATAATAGCAGAATGCTTTGGGTTTAGTGTTCGGGGAATGAATGAACTGATCATACGTACACCTTGAAGGAAATGTCTGTCTTATTCATAAATGAAAACACCCTGAATGAATCATTGTTTCTGAGCAAATTGATTGTGTGAATGATTCAGTGACTCTAGGACAGTCTACTGGTGTAATGATGATAAATCCCCAGCACTAATGAGCACAGACTGACAGTCTGTCTGAAACAGTGCTTCTATATCTGCACTCCTGTAACGCTGCTGGAGCAGTCAAAGAAAGACCAGAACTAATGGTTGTGTAATATAAACTCGAAGCATCAGTGCCAGCTTTGATCAGGACTGGAGCTCAACGGCTGTGATGTGACCGTGATAAGGGTTTTGTGTGTGTGTGTGTGTGTGTGTGTGTGTGTGTGTCTGCGCGCAGCTCTACAGAGATGGAGCATGAGGTGGCGTGTCTGGACATCACTCCTCTGGGCGAGAGCGCAGGAGAGTCCAGCATCTGTGCTGTGGGGCTCTGGACCGACATCTCAGCCCGCCTGCTCAAGTTACCCTGCTTCAGCCCGCTGCACAAAGAGATGCTGGGCGGAGGTGAGACACACGCACGCACGCACACACACACACTCACAGAGATACACACTCACTCACACACACACACAAACACACACATGTCTGGTTTGCTATCCTTGTGGGGACTCTCCATAGGCGTAATGGTTTTTCTACTGTACAGACCATATATTCTATTGCCCTACACCAACCCTACACCTACACGCACACTCACTCACTCACAGAGACACACACACACTCACAGAGAGACACACACACTCTCTCTCTCACACACACACACACACACACTCACAGAGACGCACACACAGACGCTCATGTTCATGACACTACACACACACAGAGGTGCTGTGAAAACATTCCCCAGAGAGAAGCTTGAACAACACACTTTCTCTTTCCTTCGCACTTTATTTCTATTTATTCACCTTTGTATAAGAAGCTTTTATAAAGCTCTTTTCCCAAACTCAAGCTGAAGTCTTTGAGACATTTCAAACAAAAAACATGGTGCGGGTGTGAGAGTGCCACACTGCAGCACTCAGGCTAATGGTTATGTATGGTGTCACGCGGGACATGTTCCTGGGCTCTGAAACAGTCTTCAGGTCTGGAGCGGGTCCTCTTTCAGCGTGTCGCTGTGGTCAAAGACACCTATCTAGGTCACGTTCATACAGACAGAGAAATCAAGACAAACCACGCCATCATGAGCTGGCTGGAGTTCACTCGCTGGAAAACACACAGCTACAGTTGTTGTTTAGTTCAAATGATCAATTTGAGTGTTTAAAATATCTCCACATATATCAGGAGCTTGAGGAATGCACACTTTATATCCTATAGTCCCAGTGAGGCGTATCAGAGCAGTGCTTATTCCTGCATCTTTACCCTTTGCAGCTCTTGAGATGCATGTTATAAAGGTAACAGCGCTTATTTAGCTTATTTAGCTTACTTATTTAACGGTGCTTTTATTAATAATTGAATTAACTGTCACTTTTGATTGAAAGATATTTCTGTTGCTGTGTATGATTAATGAATGAAAGTGTCTGGAGAAGCTTGAGCGTCAGACGGTCATGAAGTGTGCAGTGTGAATGTATTTCTGCTGTGCTCAGGGTTAATGCTGGATATAGTTAGTGTAAGTGAGCCTTAAAATGTGCATAATGTAAACATCTGAATAATGTTGGTACTCCGTTTCCTATATGAGATTATAGATTCACAGCGTGTTGTGAAAGACAGTGCTGTTGTTTTGATGCCGTTTGGTGAATGAATCTGAAGAGCGTCTGAAGCATGAATGTGTTTGCTGAGCTGAAGAACATGTCACATGTCTCTCACTGACCGCTGATCGTGTGTGCTGTAGAGATCATCCCTCGCTCCATCCTCATGACCACGTTTGAGGGCAGTCATTACCTGCTGTGTGCGCTGGGAGACGGGGCGCTTTTCTATTTCGGACTGGACATTCAGACAGGTGAAAGCAACATACACACACGCTCTCTCACACACACACACTCACACTCACACGGTTAACAACCATCTACTCCATCGGTTCCTCTGAGCACTTTGAGGAGGATAGTCAACATGACATCTAATGGACTGTTTAATTTATTAACATGTTTCTGGCTTGTGAATGATTCATTAGAACACATTATGTACAGTAAACGGTCAAATGTTTGTTGCAGGATTCAAGAATTTTTTTCTATAGAGGTTCCGGTTTTTCTTGTCCTGTTGAAATTTTCCACTGGCCTCACCACAAAAATGTTTTGGATCCATGTAACCTTTTATTGTGATATAATGGCGCTTTTCCACTGCATGGTACGGCACTGTACGATTCGGTTTGGTTCACTTTTGGGGTGTTTTGGACTTTTGGACACGAGACACCAGAGCTGCTAGAAAAAAATCACAGCCAGCGAAGGGTCAAATGCATGTTTTGAACGAGCACACCTATTTAACAACCAAAAAATGGCTGTTTGGTGGTGTGTTGAGGAAGTACAGACGTTCCTCTCGTTGACAGCCGAGGAGCTTGATGGGGTGATGTGTATGATCCTGCCCACTCTAAAGCGGTACTAAACTGCAGTGGAAACGCAAACCCAGCCGAGCTGTACCACACAGTGGAAAAGCTCCATAAGATTGGTGTGATACCAGCATTTGAGTTACCAGTTACCAATTTCACAATTCTTGATTCTAATTTTGATACCACAGCAAAAACTAATATAGCTCAAACGTCATTAAAGACAAGTAAACAGTAATAAAATAAGAACAAATAAACTAATTACACGCAATAGCGCAAATAAATACAGTAGAACAAATAAATTAAACAGTGCTTCAAGGTTTTCAGGCTTATCTAGCTCTTTTTACTCGGGTAAGAAATACTAGAGATTGAATTAAGTAATGCATGTATATGTTTTGTTGCAAAATTCAAATTTAATTGAGTTTTAAGAGGATTAAATTCCATTGTCACACCCTAAGCTCTTAGTGTCTGATGTGGCGTGTGTCGTTCTGTGCAGGGGTTTTGAGTGAGCGTAAGAAGGTGACTCTGGGCACTCAGCCCACGGTTCTGCGCACCTTCCGCTCGCTCTCCACATCTAATGTGTTCGCCTGCTCCGACCGGCCCACCGTCATCTACTCCAGCAACCACAAACTGGTCTTCTCTAACGTCAACCTGAAGGAGGTCAACTACATGTGCCCACTCAACTCTGAGGGATACCCCGACAGGTACGACACGAGAAAGATCAGGCCTGTTCTTATCAGCGAACACATCTGTAGTGAAAGATGGAGCGGTGACTTTGATTTCCTCTTCCTTCTGTCACAGTCTGGCTCTGGCCAACAACAGCACTCTGACCATCGGCACTATCGATGAGATCCAGAAGCTCCACATCCGAACCGTTCCTCTCTACGAGTCACCCAAGTGAGTGTGTCCTCCGACAGGAACACATCCAGACTGCAGCTCTTAGCTTTGCTGGAAAGATTTATCGCTGCACTAAACCAGGGATGTCGATGATTAATCGCTAATTACAGTTAATAATTTATTAGATTAAGCTTATCAGGTGTCATTGTGTAATTATGAGAGCGAAAGCTGACTGGAGCTGTTGCATTTAATTCATGCTCACTACACACACGTCCTTGAAATGCTGGAGTATGATGTCATGAGAATCGTGCATTTACTTTTAAAGTAAAGATGATGTGCGCTACAGACGCATGATTGTGTGTTAAAGTACAGCACGACGACAAGCATGCTGTCTTTTTTCAGTGCTGCTCTATTTCTAATAAATCCAGCCCCTCAGCTTTTATTTAGTGGCCGGTGTCATTAGCAGGAACTTACTAAAAACATGCTTGTCTCTCTGAGGGTTAAACCGCTGCTGAGTGATCTAATGACACTTTGTAAAGGCCAAATAAAACCATGTTCAAACTGCTGATATTCATGATTTAATTTGCTATTGCCGGCTAAAGCGATGGGAGTCTTTAGTTAATAATCAGCAGACTCAGTCAGTGATGGTGTGTGTCGTTGCAGGCGGATCTGCTATCAGGAGGTGTCTCAGTGTTTCGGAGTTTTGTCCAGTAGAGTAGAAATGCAGGACACCAGCGGGACCACGGCAGCCGTGCGGCCCAGCGCCAGCACACAGGTGTGTGTGTGAGAGAGTGAGTGTGTGGGAGTGAGTGAGTGGGAGGGAGCGTGCGTGCGTGTGAGCATACATGTGAGAGCGTGAGTGCGTGTGTGAGTGCGTGTGTGAGTGCGTGTGTGAGAGCGCGTGTGTGAGAGCGTTTGTGTGTGTATATATATATATATATATTAGAGAGAGAGAGAGCGTTGTGTAGTAATGTGTGTGTGTGTGCTCAGGCGCTCTCCAGCAGCGTCAGCTCCAGTAAGCTGTTTCCCAGCAGCACTTCTCCTCACGAGACGTCGTTTGGAGAGGAGGTTGAGGTGCACAGTCTGCTGGTGGTGGATCAGCACACGTTTGAGGGTAAGTGTGAGCGCTGTCAGCTGGAGTGTGTGCGGGCGTGACGTCTGACGCTCTCTCTCTCTCTCTCTGCAGTGCTGCATGCGCATCAGTTCCTGCAGAACGAGTACGCGCTCAGTATGGTGTCCTGTAAGCTGGGCAGGGATCCTGCCATCTACTTTATCGTCGGCACGGCGATGGTGTATCCGGAGGAGGCGGAGCCTAAACAGGGCCGCATCATCGTCTTTCACTATACAGATGGTAACCGTCAGACACACCCCTGATTATTTTCCACAAAGTTATTAAATGTTTCTCTAGGTGTTTCTACAAACATTGTGGCTATTTCAATGATGAGTGTACTTTGTTTTTTACACATCCGCTAGAGTATACATGCAGTGTGTGTGATGCAGGTTTCATCCTCATCATTAGAACAGCTCGTCTCAAAACCGAAGCATACTTTGAGTCTCCTCAAGCTTTTACCATTTCATATTAATATAAACAAAACTGCTCAAAGACTAGGGCTGTGCGATTAATCGAAATCGTCATAAAATCGCGATTTGAGCACGCACGATTTCTAAATCGTTTTATAGCACGATTTTCCACGCCCCCGACCTCCCACAGTACGCTATCCGAACCAATCAGAATGCAGCCGATCGTTTCCGTACTGAGTCTGTTTCTGCTGTGCTGCACGTGCTGAAAGTGACAGTGCATTATTTGCGGTAAAAAATAACATGGATCGACACGGAAATGTAGTAATTACACCATAAATGCATATATTAAAGTCTACTGTTTCACAGTCAACACATGGCTTTTTGGCTAGATTTAAAACAAGGAAAAGTGCACTTTTAGATAAACAAGGCAAACAGCTTTTTGATAAAGCTCTAATTGGTTTTATTTTTGACTTTGACTGTAAAGCATGTCTGTGTGTGTCAAAATCGTGTTTAAAATCGAAATCGCAAAATTGATCAAAGAAATCGCGATAGGTTTTTTTTGTCCATATGTGATTTCAATCCCAACTGGATGAGTGCTGTTGAAATCCTGGATGATGACAACTTCCTCGGAGCGGAGAACGCTTTCAATCTGTTCGTCTGCCAGAAGGACAGGTAATGGATCGAGTGGGAAAGTGTGATCGGTGAAATCCTGGTTCAGTCATAATCCACATGATCGTGAATTTTGCATGAGGGGGACAGATTTTACATCTGGTTGATAGCTCCAGTTCGTCATGTTGAGCAGCAGAAAGCTGCTTGGATTGAAAGTGACGTCTGAAGCTGTGCTTCATTCACTGCATACACTGATGTGCCTTAAAACCACTTAAGCTCGGGGTGTTTTTTGGTATTTTCGCCTAAATTTAACATACTCAAATTCAAATGTTTACCCTGCACACATACAATGGAGGAAATGAAAAAAAATGGTTAACATTTTTAAAGACATTTTGGACCCGTATCCGGGTCCGCAGAGTTTAACTGGTTTTAAAGGGACAGTTCACCCAAAAATGAAAATTACCCCATGATTGACTCACCCTCAAGGCATCTTAGGTGTATATGACTTTCTTCTTTCAGATGAATCCAATCGGTGTTATATTTAAAAACGTTCTGGCTCTTCCAAGCTTTATAATGGCAGTGAATGCCTGTTATTTTTTTAATAGTCCAAAACAGTCCAATAAAGCGCATCCTTCCATAATAAACAGTGCCTCACACGGCTCCGGGGTGAATAAAGGCCTTCTGTAGCAAATCAATGTGCTTTTGTAAGAAAAATATCCATATTTAAAACGTTATAAACCGTAATCTCTAGCTTCCACTAACTGTCATACGTTCACAATAGAACGGCGTTTCGGCGGATGATGTAGGACGTCGGCGTAGCGTTAGCTCCGGTGAAAAGTGACAAACGCAGAGGAGAGAGCAAAACAATACGCTGGTCACGAATTAGAAGTACAAAACAAGAATATAAAGGAAAATGTAGGAGGATTTTGATATAAGCCAAGAGGAGACTGGTTTTCCTTTGCTAAAGTGAGAAAACTTTGCTTCCTTTGCTCCTGTAAACAAACGTTGTTTCTCGCGAGACTAGCCTGTTCTCACCGGAGCTGCAACAGATCTGACTCTGCTGCAGCCTAGAATTAAACCGCTGGTCTCGTCTGGCCAGAGGAGAACGGCACACTATTTCCCTGTTTAATACTGTAAAGCTGCTTGGACACAATCTGCATTGTAATAAGCACTATATAAATAATGGTGTGTGGCACTTTTTACTATGGATGGATGTGCTTTATTGGATTTCTTTTGAACTACTGAAAAATAACAGCCGTTCACTGCCATTATAAAGCTTGGAAGAGCCAGGATGTTTTTAAATATAACTCCGATTGGATTCATCTGAAAGAAGAAAGTCATATACACCTAGGATGCCTTGAGGGTGAGTCAATCATGGGCTATTTTTGTGTGAACTAACGCTTTAAGGGAAGTGAAAGAGTCGTTGAGGGTTGTTTGGTTGTGTGTCCTCCAGCGCGGCGACTACAGACGAGGAGCGGCAGCACCTGCAGGAGGTGGGTCTGTTCCACCTGGGAGAGTTTGTCAACGTGTTTTCACACGGATCTCTGGTGCTGCAGAATCTGGGCGAGAGCTCGACGCCGACACAGGGCTCGGTGCTGTTCGGCACAGTCAACGGCATGATCGGTGAGCTTCTGTCCGTTCACTCGCACAGCAATCCTGTAACGCCGTCATACTGTCATTGTTCAGCCTGCTTCAGCGGCCGGCCGCGAGACTGAGCCACAGAAGAAGATTTAACTGTTCTGCTGTATCTGTGAGGACTGATTTACATGTGTGAGAGATGAAGAAACAGAGCGAGACGTGTCCAAATACAGTGCTATCAAGAGCTGTTTGTCAGGAATGAGGTGAAGCAGAGTTTAGTTGTTAGCTGTGGAGCTGTTTTACGTTCATATCAGACTCGTTATGAAGAATCTGAAGCAGCTTTCCTTTGTAACACCGTGTCCTGACTCCACACGACAAGCGATTTGTGTCCACAATCAATCAGATACCACAGCCAAGCAGAAGTTTATAATCTAACTCATAAATATTAAACCTTTTTAACATTATTAAATGTACATACTGAGTGACTGATACCATCTTTTTTTTATGGAGTACACTCGTCGGTTAGCAGTAAGTTCACAGTTTTAACGTACATGTTTGCTTTCATTTATTTTCAAGATCTGAGGTAAACTATCTGTTGTTGTTTTCAGTATAGCAATAAGCTCACACAAAATTATATTCAAACTCGCATTAGACACGTTTAAATTTGAATAAAGCACATAATCACCTGAGATTATCACTGTCATATAGTTTATATGATGTTGTTCCATCCACAGCATCACAGAAATAGAAACCGTTTCTGAATTAGAAATGTTGCGTGTCGCCGTCGCGTGTAGTTTGGACACAGTGTAAGATTTCCAGAGATATTCAGCTGAATTTCCAGATAAACTGCATTTTGATCTACCTTGATGTCATTACTGTGATGTTGGTTGTGTAAATGTGAGTTTTGATGATGATTTGTTGTGTGTTTGAGGTTTGGTGACGTCGCTGTCGGAGGGCTGGTACAGTTTACTGCTGGATCTACAGAACCGACTCAACAAAGTCATCAAGAG